AAAAGTATCCTGTGTCCTTTTGAAGGGTTTTACGTGGGGCCTGGTTGGGCTGTGGGAGATTTGGATGAGCCCTCCGAATGAGAATGGTGCAATGCAGGCAGCGCGAGACACCGGAGAATGAGAACACATCAGTAATTTGCTAACCCTTCCGCGCCCTTTCTACAGTGTGTACATTTTCAGACGGGGGAAAGGGTCATGAGGTGTAGCCCCAGTGCACCCCTTGAGGGACTGTGCGCGGCATGGAAAGAAGAAGAGGACCTGCCACGGTACCAACCAATCACAAAAGCAGATAGTACGCAAGTGCCCCAGCCGATTTCCATGATAGCGACACTGCTCTGCTGCCCGCAATTGATTCTCTCCACTACGCTAGCCGGCTGTGGCACGTGCGCCTCTGCTTGGGCAGCCTCCCGTTCTTCAGTCCCAACTAGCTAGTCCCACAATATGATTTCCGTTTAGGCAAGGGCCAACTCATGGAAAACTCCGTGCAGACACCCTTTCCTGGACATTGGGACGAAGGACGCGCGGGCTTGGGGCATGATCCCGGTATCATCACTAGGGGATGCATAGCCCTTAGAAGACAACGAAGAATTAAGAGTAACAGGAAGAAGGGGGGGAGCGCGATAGAGAGGGAAAAATGTCAGGTCCACCAACCGCAAGAGTAGGGAGGAAAGTAATTCATTGACCCCTGAAGTGGATGAGCTATGTCACGGTCTTCTCCGGCGCAGCTCGGTTGCAAGAATTGCTGCAAGGAAGAACTCCAGGCCTCGCAAGATAAGAAGGGAACGAAGGTACTAGTTTTTTCCCTCCAGCCAAGCGTACTAGTTGGGCCACGGGGTTTAGCCCCAACGGGCCCTGTGACGCCAGGCTTACATGAGCTTTGGCTTTTGTTCCTATATGATCGAACTACAGAAACTACCCCTTCCGCGAAGCCCTTCCGCGAGTAGCGCTCGTAGTATTTTTTGCTTCCGCCTTCCGCGGCTGCTTCCGCGAAGGTTTTTTGGCTGAATTTCGGGATCTGCTTGTGCGAAAGGGCTTCAAAGACTGTTGATAGCCGGAGTTTCTGAAAACATGAGCTTCCGCAAACCCTTCCGCGAAGAAATGCTTCCGCATCTTCCGCGTCCTTCCGCACACACAGGAAAACTCATCGTTTTCGGGCCAAGATTTCATGAGTTCCTGTTTTGCGCACTTAGAACTGATCTACAGTAAAAAAACCCGCCGGTCACATATTCGTGCTTACCCAAGAAGGCTTCCACTGGTTTCGGGCTGTTTGCTTGCAAACGGCCGCGTGTTCTCCCGTTGTAGTCTCTTTTCTCCCATTCGCGTCACGGACGTGGATTTCGATAGGCCTCTCCCTTACACAAGTCTGTCGGATGGGCAATTGTTTGTCGCCCGCTCGCAGTGGTTTCCACGTCTTCAGTCCACCTCTCAGGCGCAAGTTGCAGTTCCCCTTCAAATTCCGCAGTTTTCCCAATAATGGTGCTGGCTGCAACTTGCGTCACTCTAAGCTGTGCATCGGTAGACCCAGCCGAGCATTCCGACTCGCTGCTATTGTGCTCCCACTGGCTTCAGTAGCCGCCGCCTGCATCGTACAAGCCATGCGTGGCCATCCGGCAGCCCCACAGCTCTGCTGGCAATAGTGTCCACATTGGTTCCACTTGTATTAGCTTCAGCGTCTTTCGATAGACTTCAGAATGGCAATCGTTGTGATGGTGGGAAGTTCCCTGTTGTATCACGTTTCCCCTTCCCCCTTTCCTTTCATTTAGGAAGCATTTAGGAAGCAGCAAAGGCTCAACGCTACAAAGATTCCGGTGTCATTTTTGTAAGACAGAACACGATCACTTGGGGGCGCAATCTGTGCAGCCATTTTTGGCTCAAGTCTTCCACTTGTCCTCTTTTGGGGAGGTGCTGGCACGGGCCCCTGCCCTGCTGTTTGGGAGTTGGCTCTAGGCGGTGAGGTGGATGTGTGCCCGGTGTGGATGCTTGAGGACTCTCGAGCATTGCCATCTTAAAATCAGGCCAGGGAAGCGGTACATCCTCCACATCATGATCATCATCCTCATCCTCATCCTCATCATCATCATCATGATCACCTTCATCCTCATCATCATCATCATCGTCGTCATCATCATCATCGTCATCGCGCGAAGGCGAAACTACAACTATGCACGCTCTCCTCCACAGGCAAACATGTGGGAAATTACTTGAGAAAAATCCATATCCATTTGATACCAGGGCTCAATTCACTGAATCTCTGCTGTTCTGAGGCTGTCGCTAGCCAGCATCTCTATCAGCTCCTTCACGAGTATGATCATGATGGGCGAACAGCTTATTTACCAAGATAAACTCAGAAAGCCAGGGCTCCTTCATGAAATACTTGAGGTCTTTCTTGGTGGAGAGCCCGGTTATTTTGCAACCTGGGCGGGCAAGGCCTTCACGTAGGGCTGAGTGTGAATGAAGAAGCAGCACATGTCCGTTTCCCTGCGCTCTGAAGCAGCTACTGCCTGAGTGCGCAACATCTTTTGAACTCAACCTCCGGATTGCATTTCAGTTTGTCCTTGTTGCAACCTGCAGCTGAATGAAATGCATGTGCAGCTTGATCCGTTTGGCACATTTTTATTTTGGGTGGCCAGACAGCCCCATGATGTTGTGAGTTCTTTGTACTTGACACGGGTGAGTAAGAAGGTTGTAGCGGTACTGGTTCAAGCGCGCACATCAAACAGCATCCAGCATCCCAACCAGCACCCTCGGCCAGACACCAGTGACCAACCACGGAAGCACCCACTTTACCAGTTTACAGTCATTCCTCATCCCTGAAAACCAAAGCCTTAGCATTGACGGTGAATCAAGCTAAAACCCTGATGCAGGCAGTCCCACTTTGTAGCAGAGTCTGAAATTCAAACAAGATTCGGGGAATGCATTGAATAATAATAGTAATATAGTAATGGTCACATGTGATAAACTGTTAACAAGATTAATACTGACAATAACGGTAATAATCGTAATTGCGCATCTGCTGTTGTTTGCGAATCCAGAATAGCACAAAGCTTTTGGCTCGAATCCAAGCCCGTGCCTATTCGCCACCAAACCCCCCTCAAAGAGGAACAACAGTTCTTTTTCGGGGACCCCATACTTAACAGGGCCCGACCGTAATACCATCAGAAATCATTGGAAACCATCAAAATGATAGAGGATTAGCAGTTAACAACAGTAACAAGTGTCAAGTTGCTGTCCCACTGCCTGGCATCCCACCCTAAACCCTAAAGCCGAAACCCTTTTTTTGCATCTGGACTCTTGCGTGTCTGCCTAAACCCTAAACCCTACTACTACTGAGGCCAGATTCCGGATACCAGGTAGTGGGGGTCCGGGGAGTCCCTTGGATGTTGTGTCCTAAGCCCTAAACCTCAAGCCCTAAACTTTAAACCCTAAATCCTAAAGCCTAAAGCTTAAGCCCTAAACCTTCAACCTCAAATCCTAAAACCCTAAACCCTAAAACCCTAAACCCTATAAACCTCAAACCCTAAACCCTGCTAGAAACGGAACCATCCCGGGAGGCCTTTCTTCGCGCACACGAGCTCCAGTAGTCGAGTGCGGGGCCTTGGCTACGTGTCAGTTCCCAAAACAAAGGAGGCTCCAGGGATATTATGGGGTAAGTGTTTTTTTTCCAACTGCTCTTTTCCGTCTCGCAGAAACGGCCGGCCTACAGGCCAGCCGATCGGGTTCTTTCCCTTTGCAAGTCTCTCAATAAGTGGCGGTTTAGGGTTTGGGGTTTATGGTATAGGGGGGGATATATCGGGATCGGAAAAGAAAATGGAAACCACAATAATGGGGGCTATATTGGGGTCATATTGGGGTGATATGGGGGAAGTGGGAAAGAAAATGGAAACTACTGGGATAGTATTGGGGCAATGGAAACCCTATACCCCCATATAATCCCTATATAATCCCTACAAACCCCTTTAAAAAGGTACCCCTAATTTTGGGAAACACCCGCATCAAGCTAGCTGAGCATTCCGGCGGAGGAGGGCCGCATAGCTTGACAAGGCGGAGGACCTTGACCACAATTTCCGTCATGTCCTGTTTAGGGTGTACTTGGAGGGTCATCGGGACTTTGTAAGTAGGTTAATAAAAGGCATAAGTATATGGGTTATAGGAATTATTAACCTACTTACTAAGTCCCCCAGACCCTGCAAGTAGTGTCTAGGAGTTCACGCCAAGAAAAGGTCTGGGGGAATTTAGGGTTTTAGGGTTTCGGGCATGGCAGAGTCTGGGGCTACAATACCGCAGCCTGTAAGTCACTCTGCTGCACCTGTCAAGTATGAGCAGCACAATATGTCATTCGTGCGTCGGCTCACCCTTTCAGACAAAGGGGCAAGCAGGCTTGCAAGCGACAGCAGCTCACTCAGCGTCAAAAAGCAGCCTCTCTACAAATTCCATGCTGAAGCTCGTAAATTGTGGCCCCATACTCCAAGACTGTGACCTTGTGTTCTAGCGATCAAAACAGAATGTGTCCTTGTTGCAGTCGTTCGCGCATGCCTTTGCTCTGCAGAGGTCGCAGTTCCCGCAGGTCCAGCCGGACCTATGCATTGTGAGAACCCTTAAGGCTTAGGGATTAGGGTTTAGGATAGTATGTTGGGTGCTTCCATTTTCTTTTTCATTTTCCATAAATGGCCCCGTATTGCCCTATACTAGTGGGGGCTAGGTAATATTCGGATAACATAGGATATATATGTTATTTCGGGAGCATGGAAAAGAAAATGGAAACCCCAGGATTTTCTTGCGATTGGTGTAGAATCCACCTGCTCCTCCGCACACCGACTTCTGTACCAACGAGCTTTGTGGATTCCCTTCACCCTTGTATCGAGAATTTACGTAGCGAAACTCTTACGCCCCCTGGTCCCTTCATTTTTGCATACAAAGCAGGGTCCCCAGTCACCAATACATGCTATCTACTAACCGCCTCCCTGCATTCGTAGGCACGAAAACGGCTGCTGCCGAGCGACGGCGGATCCTGCGGCATGGTCTTTTTACCCTGAATCCCGAAGCCAACACCTGAAAGAAATGCATGTAAAATCTAATCCTCAAGCCTACTGAACCCTAAACGGTGCTACAACAGCTTCCCTTCCAGCCGCAGGATCATGGCTAGTCTGGTTCTACCCATCTTCTCAAGGTTCAATGACACCGTGCAGATAGCCCCACCCCATGATATGCTTCATCCTCGGGACTTTTGTTACTTTTCGCATCTGACTGTGTCTACAAGATCTCAGACATGAAGAGCTTCTATCCAAGTCAAACACTTGCTAAACACGAAAACACTCTTCCTCAGGAATGATAACCCATCTCCACACTAATATATCATATCAGAAGATAATTCTGGTAAATGCAGATGAGTACCAAATGCGTACCGCATGTCCCCATGCCATATATAGACTGTACAAATGTGGCTCCACCAATCACACATTTACAAGGCAAAGGCCCCACTTGAAGAGATCACCAGCAGGGATCAGAAGCATGGACCCCCCCAACCGCACGGCTTTGACAGAACAGACTTATGGGGTTCTTCGTTTTGCGGTTTGATATGGGAGTCCTAAACCCTAAGCCCTCAACCGTATGGAACCCGGTTTTTCGGCAGAGCACGGACTATTTTACAAGAACCGCAGGCATTGAGACCTCATCACAAGAAAGACTGCCATGAGATTGATATGGGGGGGGCGCATGGAGGCTTCCGGAAGTCATGTGAGTAGCATCATATGTTTCACGGACGTCAGTCGATCATGAAAGTCAGACGCTGAGCACTTTGGCTCCTCAAATAAGTAATCTAGAGTAGATTGGAAGCGGCTCCCCAAATAAAAAAACTACTCAGGCGTCCTTTTCCGGGAGTCCCTGTAAGAAGGTTGGGTCTGTATAGGGGCCCAATTGCCTGGGTTCAATAAGCAAACGGAAAGGGGACTGGCCTTAGCACAAATCTTTTCGCGCTCGGTTTGCTTGTCTTGTGAGTCTACAAGAGCAAGCCCTACCCATCTCATTGAAAAAAACGCACACACAAGCTCCTAGGCCAGATCAGCTGCAAGGCATTAGTTCTCCGAATTCTGCATCTGCTTGGGGGGCCCATGTCTTAAATGAGCTATAGTCTGAACTCCTAGTATCCCCCTCAATATCCCCTATAATACTCCCTATGTAGTCTCCTTATATAACTCCCTTTAAGGAGCTTGAACTACAGCTCAAATCAAGAAATATTCAGGTTGGAGCCTCCCCGAGGTACCGCCGGAGCTCGGCCCAGCGGCATCCACATCCATGAAGAATGTTTCGCATTTGCCTCTTGGATCTTTCCTCCCAGTCCTGATGCGTTTAATTCTTAGCAGGGAACAAGGGATTATACTACATAAGGAATATATAGGGGTTATATCCCCTGATTCTACATGTTAGGTACCCCTATATAGTGGGTATATAACCCTATATTTTACCCCTATCTTCCCATATTTCCTCCCTAGAACCAGTAAACCAAGGCAAGTGCATATCTTGGGCAGTCCTCGGAGTCCTGTCTTTGTGTGAAAGCCGCTTTGGCCTTGGGGACGATGATTGGCAATGGCCATGGTAGAACCATGGTACTTCATGACAAAATTCTTCGGTTACATGCCCCGATGCTTTAATCAATCCTCTTGACACAGCTAAAGGGGTCTCCAAGCTTAGGAAACTCCAATTTGGGGAGGTCTGTGGGGTCCTCAGCTCCAGCATGCCAGAACTTGCAAGAAGTTTAGCATGGATCTCCTATGCTTTAGGTTGGTTGGTTGCCTGTGGGCATAGGCGAATGCGCAGGGTTGCAGGCACCCACAGCGTGCTGGTAGGATGCTCTTTTCTGGTTCTTGGGGCAAACATCTCACAGCCGTTAGAATATCACAGGCCTGTGACTCCCATGGCACAACAGCATCAGAAGATCCTCTCGTAGCAGGTTAGTTGGCTGAAACCTCAAACCCCCTGCATCATGGGGCTACCATGGCTGCCCCCCAGTACGGGATTATTGGGGGATTGTTAGATGTTATCAAGCTTGGTTTGGGGTTATCGGGCGTTGTTCGTCTAGGGGGTGCATATTGGGGCCATGCTCGTCCCCTGACTGGAACATGACCCATCCCGTTCTCCTCAATTTGCCCATACACACCCATCAGCTACCCAGAACCGAGCTGCGTAGAAGTCGCTGGGATCTGACATAATCTCACATAAGGCTGGATTGCCATCGCGGCCTGCCCGACCAATCCTGCAAACAACTACATTATACTTGGGTTATATGCAAATAATGGAAAAGAAAATGCAAACTACTATAGTGTAAAGGGTATATATTGGGGTTATATGGAAAATGGGAAATACTATCTAGGGATGGAGGCTTGCAGAAATCAGGGTCTCTTTCGGGAGTATGAGGTAGTATGAAAAGGATTTAGAATCCTCTGGGGTACACAAGGCGCGCTTCCATTGCTGACATACCTGCGTCTGAGCTGTCCGCCTACCCACCTCTCCTTTAGGGTTTCCACTGCGCCGGGGGTAGCTGTGTGTGGGTGAGAGACAGGAAAGGCCCTTAGAGGATCTACGCTGGAATAAACCCCTAAACCCTAAACCCAACAAGAAGAAGCACAAGTGTCCAGGCTTGGAGCTGGAGCTTGACATGGGCACTGGGAGGTTTAGCGTTGAGAGAACCAGATTTACAGCGTTTTCGAGGTCTTGACACAATACGAAAATCCTAGACCATTTGCCTCACAAAGTAAACAATGGCTACAGTACATCGTTCTTTGGAGCAAGCTGGGGCGAGTTGTCTTTAAGAGATCAATAAGGAGTTTGGAGTATGCTGCCGAACCCTAAACCGTAAACCCTGCTGTGTTTTCGGGAACTGACATGTTACACATGGAGGTGCTCTTGCCTGGCAGAATCCATTGCTGACGCTACAAGTACAGGACTTGAAATCAAACTGTCAGGCAAGTGAACTTCTGGGAGTTTCCTGAAAATTGTAATCCTCATGTATCTCCTGCAGTGTCTGGGGGCTCCCGTTTTGAGAAACCACCTTCTGAATTTTAGCACTGGAATGAGGCGCTGTGCAGTCCAAGCATCTGCTGCCAGTAGTCCTCAACCTGAGCGCATGTGCCATGTGGTAGTTCCAGCCTAGAAAATTGCATCCTGCGCATCGCACTGTTTTTGTTCTTGAAACGTGTTGGGGCCCTCCAGAAGCAGAGATACTGACTCAAGCTGCCTGGCGCAAATAGCAACTTCAAAGCAAGCAGCGGTCCATGGTGAGCCCAGATGGTAAACACGCCGGACATCTGGGAAGTGCACGCCCATGCCATAGGCAACCTCCCACCGAAATCCGACTTTGAAGAGGTTTCTGTTCAGTGTTTAGTACAGAAAAGTTCTGACTCGCGAAGCCGTGCGTCACCAAATGGAAGCCTTTAATTTCCATTGTTTTTCCGAATGCTCATCGAGCAAGCATCAAACGTTCTAGGACTCATTGTATGTTTGGTTGTGCCAGCTGCTGCCACCTTTCTGGTGCTCAAGGCGGAGCGGAACAATCCCTAAGCAATCCCCGTATGAGCTATAGTCTTAACTCCCAGTATCCCCTTAATAACCCCTACCATAGTCCCCTGCTTAATCCCCTATATAACCCCAGTTCAGGACTTTAGACCCTAAACCCTTAACCCTATAACAGTCCCCTATATGATCCCCTATATAACTCCCTTTAAGAACTTCAGACCCTAAACCATATATGACCCCCTATGTAAGGAGCTTTTAGACTTTTAGGATCCCTTAAGCGCTAGAAAGACAGCTGCTGTGCTCAGAAAAGAAAAAAAAAACGGGCTCCCGCCGTGGCCACCATCACACGACCTCCTGGCCGCAGGTCCGCTTGAAGTTTTTTTTAGTCTAGGGTTTGGGGCTTAGGGTTTGGGATTTGGGGTTTAGGATCCTCTCAGCCTGAACACCTGAAATATTCAAAGCGGCTCTACTTGGCAACATCCTGCGCATGCTCCATTTGCACGCAGCCCCTGCCCTCTTTCGAGCGTGTCCACAGTAAGATTATCCATCGGAAAATGTCCACAACAGCAAGAACAGTTTGGTTAATAGCATATGAGAGTACTAGCAAATCCATGCTGAGGCACATAGCAGCACCCACCCTTGCCGCAAGTGAATCCATACCGTCACCCGCAACAACGTCCAGACTGACCACATCCACGACCACGAAAACACTGGCTTCTAAGGCACATTCCATTGATGTGGGCAAGTGGCGCGCGCAAATTGCAAATTGAGGGGCGGGGGGACATTAAGCTACCCATGGTCACGGTGACTACTACCTATAGCAGTATAACCAGTCAGATGGCGTTTTGCCTCTAGTCACTCATAACTGAATATCACGAATACCTCTGCTTGCCTGCAAGACATTGCGCGCTTCCCATTTTGTACTCGTCAAAGGGGAACCCCGGGATCCCCATAAATACAGGGTCCAATGTAACAATCCTCGTAATAGGGCCTCCTTGACAGGGCCTGGTCTTTTGGAAACCACCCAAAAGTTAGGCATCATAGGGTTATATGGTATCCATACTTGGGGGCTAATGGGTACTTAGTAAATGGGATCCTTTTTTCAACTATCCATCCATGTAGGTTGAGGGTATAGGGGCCTCCCATGCTGGAGAACTCCTCGTGAGACAGGTCCCGTTTGCCTCAGCAACATAGGGCTGCAAGAAGTTGCATGGCCATACAGCATCGCAAGGTATCATGCCGGTCAGACTAAGACAAGAAGCACAGACCAATTAGAGGAATCAAAGGGGAAGCCCCTCTCGCGGATCATTTGCCCTGTGCTCACATCCCCATGTACCTATATGCGCCCATATGCCCTAAATACCGCAGCCTTCGGGGTATATCACCAGCACACCACATGCATGCATCCCCTACAGCTCATGCAGGTTATAGGGTTGCTCTTTATCCTTTTTCGATTGCCTACTCAGCCGAAATCCGCTTCGCGCAGGGAGAGTCAGCAACCGTCATTAGCATACCAGGATTGGGCCGCAAACACGCGCGTTTTAGGGTTTTGGATTTCTTTAAATGTTTTCTTGGTCCATCGGATTTAGGATTTGTTTATTAGCTCTTGTACTTGCAATGAGACTGTGCTCTGAAAAACAAACCCTGAAGGCAGGATTGTAATTTGAGTTGGCTTCGAGAATGCCAACGAACTAGAACCCCAACTATGGAGACATCCTCTGATCTTGGAACATGTCCTGAAGCCAGGTGGCGCAACGCAATACGGGCGTGGTAGGAGCCCACCTGAGTCACTGAGGACATCAGACTTCAGGCCAGTGAGTGGTCATACCATTCATACCCAAAAGGAGGATGGAATCTTATTCCATATACGGGACTATAGTATCCCTGTCAAAGCACCCTACTGATGTTGAAGTCCTTGCGCAAGGGCTTCTGTAAAAAGCTCTGGAACTTGGAGGTTCACAAGGAACCCTGAAATGCCTTCCTATGCTTGCAGGTTCCCAGCCGAGCATCCTTCACCCCGCCGACACCGTCCGAATCGAGCGTAGGCAGCATTTCCTGCACCCAACCAGACCGCACTGGGGAAAGTCATGGGGGACCCTAAATTACTAAACCGCAAACCCTAAACCCAAAAACCCTTAACTACCTAAACCCAAACCCTAAACCCCAAAACAGACCAGCATGGCCTTTGGGGCGATGTCAGGGCTCAATACGTTGCAACCACGTCCCCGAAAACAATACAATGCAACCTTGACTTACTGAGGGTTAGCAGGAAACAAGGGAATATATTATATAGGCATTATAAAAGATTTTTCCCTTATGACCTACCAACCACCAGCAAGAAGGTTAACCTGGTTCTTGGCCTCCAAAAACTCCCTCACTTGGTCGACTTCCTGAGTCTGCTGTCTAGGGCTCAGGGTTTAGGGGTTGGGGGTTTAGGGCTTAAGGCTTAAATAGGGTTGGTTTGGTTTGGGATTCGAAATCTGCTTCTTTAGGTCGTGAGCCGTGCTGCCTGCATGCCTGCCTTCCTTACTAATTCTTCGCAGGGAATATGGGAATGTACTGTATAAGGATTATAATGATAACCCTAAACCCTCAACACTGAACCACAAGTTCTATAGCGATTATATATGCATATATATATATACATATGTTAGGGATGATGTTATCTTATTCCCTACTTCGAACCAGTAAGCTTCAGAAGTCTGAGTGCAGGGTCAATCTGAGCACTCCAAAGGCCTGCGTTGGAGGGTACTTGGAGGGTCAGGCGGACTTCGTAGGTTTGTGGGATTTAGGGTTTAGGGTTTAGGGTCCGGGGGACTTAGGAAGTAGGTTACCAACCCAAACAAGCCGTATAACAACCCCACTTACCCCCCCTCTTTTCAGCTGCTTACTAAGTCCCCATGAGCCCCCAAGCAGTTTGCATTGAAGGGCGCTCAACCTTGTTCAGAGACCGCGGACCTTTGTCCATCTACTATGCAGTTTGGTGGCTCACTTTGGGATCTTTTGGGTTGCCTGCTTCTGGGGCTCTTGAACGATGGAGTACACGGGGGCATAAGGCTTGCAAAGAAGTTTGGAGTCTGTTATCGGGCAACGTTTAAAGCAGGGCGGAAAATCATGGACGTTGCCTTGTTTGAATGTTTGGTTTTGGGGGGGCAGCCCATGCAAGTGCCGCAAGCTTGCAGGGACGCTCATCAAGCCTCTGATTCGTTTTTGGCGTCTTGCGGATCTGTTGGCCCGTGCGGGTTTGAGAAACCATCCAACCTTGTCATACTGCTTCTCTTGCGGGAGCACTCTACAAGCACTTGCAAGAAGTTGATCCTGCTGTATCTTGATCTTGTTCTACAGTCTATGCGCTCCTCTTGCGAGGAGCACCCGGGCTGCCAAGCCCAGGCCGAGTCAAGGTCAGGAACCGAAGAGGATCTGAGTAGTACAAGGACTGCTCGGGCGCTTGCTTCCCCATGAATTTCCCTGGTTCTGGTTCCTCCCTGATTAATCAATTGCGAAGCTGATATGGCCGAGTGGTCCTGTACAATGGCAAGCTCACTGTGATGGACTTTTTTCAAAGTTGATCCACTTTGCTTTGCTTTGCTCTCTCCCCCTCTCTCGCTCGTAGGAAACTTGCATTAGGGAGCTCTGCTGAAGCCAGGTTACGTCCCGCTTTCGTACATAGATCAGCGTGCGCCCACCTTATGCACTTGGCTGCACGTGATCAACACACTAGCAGTTGCTCGTCCATCACACTCGGAGCACATTGGCAGCGGCAGTAAGGACCACACTGGCATCATGTATCTGCTCCTTTGCAAGGCTGTGCAAGGCAATGCCGTTACTTCAGGCAAATGAAATCATGGAAAGTTTCCGCCCCTCAGAGCTCTTGCCATGACCTTAAGAACGTCCCAGGCTCTGCAATCCGTGCTACATCGGCGCGGAGGTTAGTCGCGAGTGAGCGCTTGAGATGCAGGTTGTCACGGAAGCAGGGTCCTCTCGACACCTGCGGCAACCCGAACATCAGCCGGTGGAAAGTCTTGTTTGCACAACTCCCATCCTTGGGCGACTGCAAGCGCAGGGAGCTCTGGACGCAGTCCTGACATTTCAGCCCAAATCTATCATTCTGAAACTTTTGATGACCAATGGAGTTCAGAGGAAGTGCCCATAGTGGCAAGATGATGTTCTTCACCCGCGGGACCAATGTCGGTTTAGAAGCGGAGAGCGGGTCTCACTCTTGTTCTCTCCCCGAAACTATTCCCCGCATCACTGCCGTGGAAACGACTGCCCTGGCGCCTTCTCGGCGCAGCATCTGTGGCAGTTTCCATAAATGCGGGGACATCATAGACCCCAAAATACTACAGTCCTTACTATTGGGACACTAAGAATGGAAAGTTGTGTGTGGTTCCGTATGCGTCTCTCTCTCTCCATGGATTCATTTGTTCTTTCTCGTCGCAACCTTCGTCTCACTGAGATGCCCTTCATGGCAAAATGGCACTGACTGGACAAACCTGTCGCTGCCTCTCACAATGCAAGTGGTCTTTGCTTTGAGGTCAATTGAAGCTCTGACTTGATCTTTCAAGCACGCGTTCCATTGCCCCAATCCAGCATAATTACGGACCCTGCTTTTCTTTCAGCGATTCCGCCTGAACCGCAGCCGTCCCCAACGAAGTCAGCCTTGACCAGAGGAGTCAGCATCCAAAACCGCAACAGTCAACAACAGGCTGTAAGTCTGCGACGCCATGATGGGAACGTTCGGGAATTCGTCGCGGAACCAGCCCAGATCTCTATATTCCGGCCTTCATGGCTACAGGCTGTAGACTGTCACGCTATTGCCTCTATCAGCATGGACCCAGGCACCTCGGAGGATCTAGAAAATGGAGCCCCCTTAATTAAGGATTCCTACAAGTAACCCTTTGGGGTACCAGCATAAAGGCTCTACTTTCTAGATCCTCCAAGGGGTCTGGGGATGCCATAAAAGACTGCACCTGAATTCGCAGCCCCAATCGAGGATGCAGTGTGCCTGGTACGACGGAGTATTGTAGGGAGGGTTATGTTGGGGTTATAGGGTATATATTGGGGTTATACCAAGTTATATAGGGATATAGGCATAATGGAAAAGAAAATGGAAACTACTATGTCATGATGGTGTATATTTCGGGGTTATGTCGGGTCTGTCACTCAGGGCGAAGATTCCAAGCCTCATCGATGGCGAGAAGCCCTATCTTCTTTTGATCGTACAGGCCCCTGCGCAGGGGCACAAAATCTTACCACATAACATGATATAATATGATATAATAAAATAAGGTGTAGCACAGCATGGTGTAATATGATATGGCACCGTGTCCTCAATGAAATTCACAACAATGTCACAGATTTGAAGCGCTCCAACTAGTAGTGCTGGCTGCGTCACAGACCCGCCTTAGGTCGTACAGCATGTCGCTCCCGATCAGCTTCTCCGGAGTCACATATACAAGGCTGTACTTGCCTCTGGCATGGGACCTACATGAGCCATAGTCTATAGTCCCCCTTAGGTAGATAGAATATGGCTTTGGGTGTATTATAATACGATCCCCATATACCCCATATTCTATCTACTTAAGTGGACTATAAACTCCTAGTATCCCCTTCCCCTATATAATCCCCTTTAAGGAGTTTAGACCCTTTTTTGCTGCAGGCTTGTCCGTCCGCCCGGTTTAGACCATAAACCCCAAACCGTAAACCCTATATAACTCCCTTACATGAAAATTTAAACCCTAAAGGGTTGAGGGCCCCTTAAAGGGGCGTTATATAGGGTTTAGGGCCTAAACCCTGAACCCTAAAGTTTAGGGTTCAGTGTTTAGGCCCTAAACCCGATATAACGCCCCCTTAAGGAGTTGAGACTACAGCTCACTTGGAGGGTGACATCCCGGCAACCTCAATGACGGCAGGTAAGCTGCGAGAAGCCGAGTCCATTAACAAACATACCTTACTCGTTCTTAGTAAGGAATATGGAATTAAACGGGATTATCGACGGATAATGGAAAAGCAAGTGGAAACTACTACATTACACTATGATAGCGTATATGCTGGGGTTATGGTAGGGAGTAGGGGAATATAGTGTAAAGGGCTTCTAGAGGGATTACATGCCCTCATTCACTAGTAAGAACCAGTAAGATGCGCGAATTGGAAGGCGGGGACAGGTGGACAAGGCTCAATCTACTCTTTTCAACCTTTCACTATACGAACTTCAGAAATCCGAAGCGTAACAATGCTTTCAAACCTGAACCCTAGACAAAGGCCTGTGAGCGCAGCCTCTTCAACGCGGAATCGCTCCTCTTCATCCTCGTGGCCTCGCAGCAGCTTACTCGAGATGACTCCCTAACGTGATTAGGGATTATATAGAGATTATATAGGGGCTATATAGAAACCATATAGGGAGTAGAAAGGAGGAGAGTTGCATTCGAGCGCGGGAGTTTGCCAACACAGGGTATCCTTTGGAGACCCTCAAGATGTTCAGGGAATGTGAGGAAAATGTGGGGGAGTCTGCTTAGGGAAAAGGGGGATCACGCTGAGAAGCAGCCATAAGGAGCTAAGTGGGAGTCGTTCAGGCATCACAAAGGCATCTCGTGGCAAGATATGATGCTCATTTTGATTCAAATATATTAAACCCCTCCCCCTACTATTAAATAATGAATTCAGAGCTACTGGAACTCATTGGTGTAAATCATGAATTATTGGTTTTCCATGGAGCGACCAAGGATTTCAAAGGGCGGCCCTATCTAATTTGGCCAATAAATACCCCCTCATTATTTAATATTACACCCTAAACCCTAAACCCTAAACCCTAAAGTACCGTGGCGGGGAGGCGGTGGACGTCATCAATGCCAGGCCAGGTCTGGGCTTCAATCTACACCCTATACAACCCCCATCATAGTAGTTTCCATTTTCTTTTCCACTATCCAAATACAACCCCTGTATAACCCTTATATAACCCCCATATAACCCCTATAAGATCCTTGTATTACCCCAAAATAAAATTATAGTTGGGGCGAGGCTGAACCGAAGAGCTCTGAGCCCAAGCGCCGACAAGAATCCTGCCTATGGAATTGCTCCAGGGACCTTGGGTTACATTGGGTATAACAGTGTATAATATTGGGAAATAATAAGAGGATATGATATAATACTGGGGTATAATATAGGGGCCGTACTGGAGTATAATACACTATTTCGAATCCTCTACCTGTTAGGGGGGCGGGGTTATGAATCAGAACCTCCCATCAGAGACCATGGTAAGTCGGGGGTGAATCCAAAACCTTTGACCCAAAACTCGCCTTAGATGATACGTATACACTACTTGCAGCATACAAAAGGTCTAACGCTCGTAAACGCGAACTCCAAGAAGTGTTGTGACTGTTATCGCTAGCTTCTTGCCATTGTTCATCATTATGGGCGTAGGTAATACTATTAAAGAGCCCATCTCTCTTCTAAACCCTAAACTTTACAGTAGGAAGGTGATCGATTGAACTCCCCGGCCTGAACCCAAGAAGCAGGCCCTACACGTGGCACCTGCTTGCAATAGCGTTGGGAGATTAGGGGGGGGGGATTGTTCTTCAAGTTGTAGGGGCTGCTACAGTATTGCGTTCATGGCAGCATGAGTTCAACTTTGCAGGCGACCACATTGCCATGATAGCTAAAAACGGCAGCCTCTCATGTAAATAAGACCTGGAAGCGTGTGAACTCTAAGCAACTTGCATTTTGTTGCAGTCCCTCCATGCCTGTCAGCTCTGCTTTCTCGTTGAACTTCTGCACGTGATCTTTCATCAGGGCTACCAGCGGACTGACCTGTTGGCTTCTCTGGGCTTGGCTTGCCCCCGTCAAAAGCACATGGCAAAAGCGCCCAAAACTAAGGTCCCATTTTGACCCCTAAATATTAGTTGAGGTAGTGTAATCTATAACCAAAAGGGGCCCATAATCTTGAGAACAACCCGCATGGCAAAAGTGGGTGGTTTGCTGCCGAAATGATCTGAGAAGCGCACGACAATCACGATCTTCTGCGTGATCAGGGCCACCGCCCAGAAACACATTGTTTTGCCGCTGCCGGTCGACCAGAAGACGCAAGTGTCCTCTAATTTGGCTGCACAAGCGTGCTCTTAAAATCTAAGTGCCCCTTTTAGAATATTGCATGTAGGTTCATAGTGGGGCCTCTTTTTTAGAAAGTCACCCAAACCTCTTCTACTATGTGCTTCCATTTTTTTCGTTTGGTTCTCCAGTACTATCACCCCTCATCCCTGAACCCTAAATGAGTCTGTCGAAAATCCTTGTCTAATGTAATGGACGCCTCATGAAGGGCGTCGCTTTACAGGGTTCCTCCCTCGCTTGACAGGGTTTCATCGGCATAGATGTTGCAAATAGCAACTAATTTAAGTTACCATAGTGGGGCAACCACTAATTTCTATATATATATATATATTTATTTATTTGCAACCCCCCCCCCC